CCCCAACAGCTCCATGTTGTACTGGGCTACTGATGTTAACGAGGGCTCCACTGCATTTCACAAAGAAGCATTCCAAAGGCACATCCAGATGTTGGCAGTGTCGGTGGATAACGTCCTGTACTAAGCATCGAGCCGGGGCCCAGTGTACTGCCTTGCACCCGGAGCTGGGACCACGCACACAAACCAGCACCCCCGCCTCCGCCATTTTACTCCGGAACCTAGACAGTGTCACAGCGCCAAGACCTATCATAGCATTTTTACAGTAGAAAAATATGCCCTAAAATATAAGTACTTCAAATTAAGGAAATCCTTATATCTCATCATATAGAATAATGGCAATTATAATTGCAGTATGATAAATTTGTGACTGAGGAAGCACAGTAGCCTTTTTTAGAGTGCACACATGTTTTGGTTTTCTACATATTGTACTGTAAAGCGACAGGTCAGTCTGAGGAACTGAGCAAGCCATCTTTCTACTCTAGTTTGGGTTGCATTTTTTAAATGAAAGAAACAATTAGTTACCATATACACTTATAGGTACATGTACATGGGGGAGTTAGTGTACAGAATGTTAATCTTTTTTTTTTTTTTTTTTCTTTTGGTGGTACCAGGGATTGAACTCAGGCCCTTGCACTTGCCAGGGAAATGCTTATTCCACTGAGCCATCTCCCTGGCCTCAGAATGTTTATCTTTAAAAGCAACATTCCTCTGTTCCACTTTCTCTGTCCAGCCTCATTCTCTCCTCCAAAGCAATCACTTTTTATTTATTTTTACCTTTTTCTTTCAGTGCTAGGGATAGAAATCAGAGCCTTAAGTGTACTAGGCAAGCCCCTACACAAGCTGCATACCAGCCCAACAGTCACTTTTAAAATCTTTTTTTTTGGTACCAGGAATCAAACTCAGGACCTTGTGCTTGCCTGGCAGGTGCAGTGCCACTGAGCTATAACCCTGGCTACGCCCCCTCTCCCCCCCTTGCCGGCTCATCCTGCCCTGAGGTCAGGGCTGGCATGTGGTGCCAGGGATCAAACGGGCCACTGAGCTATCTTGCCGGTCCCCTGGCCACCTTTAAAGTTTTTATTTTCAGCTTTTCTGGTGTTTGCTTTCCCACAGAACCTGAAACCTCACAGTCCCCCACCAGCTAGAGCCACCTGACACGAACTTACCTTCACCCCATGAAAGACGAGAATACACCCTTCACTCCCCTCACCCCCACAAACTTTGCTGGCTGCATATTACTGGTTCATCTACTGATTATTTCTGTGCCATTCAAGGAATGCCTGAGCACCCCTACTATGAGAGGGGGTGAGCACTCAAGGTCTTCCCATGCTGCTTGTGATTTTATTTATGCACTTTCATTTTTATATCATTAGATAGCATTCACCTCCTGTCCTGCCCTGTAATCGAGGTTAATCTGTCCACTGGAGTTTCTAAGTGCCTTTCTCCTTTTTCAGTTGAGAAGTCCCATCTGTTATTCACTGTTATCAAGACAGAAGTTGTTTCTTACTCTTCCTGTCTACTGGTAGGGACTGCTCCCGACTGCACGGTGGGCGGTGCCTCCACATGCTGTGTTCCCTTTTCTGGCTGCCCCATGTCCAGAGTTGCTGGGGTCAGTGTGCTGCCAGGCTGGTTTCAGTTTCTGCTTTTTTCTTTCAAGCTTCCAGGGTTGCCTCTGATGGGGTCTAGAATATGCCACTGTGGCATAAAATTATTTTGAGAAGGCATGTGAGCTCCTGCAATCTTTCATCTGCCAAAAGGCAGAGCCTCCCTCAAAGAATTCAAGTTATCAATTCCCTCCCTGGGAAGAATCAGGGAAGGTTGATCTTATGAGAAGTCCCTTTGTCACACTTAAACAGACTCATCACAAAGACTGCCTTGCTGCCCATCTAATCTCCTAAGGACCCATTTATCTTTCCTAAAAGTCAAATGTTCTCCCATACGTGCCACTCCCGCCTTTCCTAAGATGGTGTATAAAGGCACCCCCACTCCCATCCCCTTCTGAGACAGGGTCACGGTATGCAGTTTGGGCTGGCCTGGAGTGCCAGTTACACACGTGCGGCATGCTGGGTTCTTTACTACCATTTTAGCAGAACCTCAAGCAAAGAGAAGACACTTAAGCCCAGGTTGGCTCCTTGGCTAGGAAGCTAGTTCCAGGAAGTTCTCCAGGTAGGTTATGCCAGCTCACTCAGAAAAATGTGTAGAGGTTTTAAGATTATTTCTTCTGTGTAAGAACTCCTCTCATCTTAGTGACTTACATAAATTATATGAAATAAATTTGTACAGCCAGGCACAGTGGCACACTTCTATAATCCCAGCACTCTGGGAAGCTAAAGCAGGAGGATCACAAGTTCAAATCCAGCCTGGTAACTTTGAGAGAGCCTGTTTCAAAATAAAAAATTAAAAAAGGGCTAGAGATGTAGCTCAATATGAAAGGTCCAGGTTCAGTCCCTAGTACATGAAAAAACAAAAACCAAAACCACACAAAAAAATATAATTCATTAAAATTTTTTCCTTTATCTGAACAAATGGCCCAGGAATATAGCTTAGAGCAAAGGTCCTGGGGGTTCATTGCCAGTATTTAAAAAGAAAAAAAGTTTCATTTGGAAATCCTTAAGTTTTATAAGAAAATAGACAAGTACTAGGGCCAGTGACAATAGCTCAGTGGCACACTGCCTGCCTGCTAAGTGTAAGGTCTTGAGTCCAATTTCTGGTACCCGCTCCCCATTCCCTGAACTAGTAACACAGACACCTTACCCAAGAAAATGTCCACCAGCATGTTCATAGTAAATCTTCCAGAGGGACTTACACGCTTTACATGTCTTGTTCCTTGCAATGAACTATGTTCTTGAACAAATCTTATAATATTTTTCACATCATCAGTCACATCTCTTGTCTTGTAATCCTACAAATAAAAACATTACTTTCTGCTATAATTAAGATAATAATGGTCAAGTTGCTAGCATTTAACTTTTTTTTCTGTATTCATAGAGTATTTTTTAAGCAAAGGAAATTAAAAAACTGCGAACAAACAGATTCAACAAATAAGGAAGGAAATGTGTTAGCCACAAGATACATTTCAACTAGCGTTTAACATTAACTGTGGTAGACTTACTGTAATTCATTACCAGACTGAAACTAAGATGAAAAACTAAGTTTTAAGTGTTAACTCTGTCTGAGTTGTAGGACAATCAGAACTCTACAATATCTCCTTTATCACTGTTTCACAGACTTGTAGCTTGTCTTTCAAACACCTGGTAGCTGGGCTGGTGAGATGGCTCGGTGCTCTAGAGCACCTACTTAGAACAAGCTTAGCAAAGCACAGGGACAGCGGTTCAATCCCCCAGCACCACATGCCAGCCAGCCCCGCCCCCTGGTGGGCTGAGCTGGCCACACACACATAAATAAATAAATAAATTTATAAAACAAACAAACAAACAAACAAACAAACAAACAAAAAAGAACACCTGGTAGCATGCTGATGGTAAGAAGCACGCACACACACGCACGCATGCACTCACATACTCCTTCATCCCTTCTCCATCAGCATGATGACCTTAGGAATGAAAGACACTGTTCATGCAAATTTGTAAGTTCTAACCTCTTTTTTTTTTTTGCAGAACCAGGGATTGAACTCAGGCCCTTGCGCTTGCCAGGGAAGCACTTATTCCACTGAGCCATCTCCCCGGCCCTCTAACCTCTTTTTGGTGGTGCTATTGTCAGTATTTTTAAAAAAATCATCTCTCACTAGTTTCCTCTCATTTTCTACAGTTGTCCCCAAACTAAAGTCATCTAGCAACAGCTTTCATTTACCCCACTGCTTTTTTCTTTCTTTCTTTTTTTGTTTTTCTGTATTTAGGACAGGTTCTACAAGGTCTCACTACGTAGACCAGACTTGTAGTGATCTGATTCTCCTATTTTCAGTCTTCCAAATGCTGGGATTATAGGTACGTGTCAATGCCCAATCTCAATAGCCCTTTCAGCATGCCATGGGGACTGGGCCAGCATGGTATGCTGGGGCTGGGGATCGAGCCCTTGACGCTGCGCTCTGCCTCAGCAGGCGTTTTAATCTGCTGAGCTATCAGGCCAGCCCTTGTTTGTCTGTTTGAGACAGGGCCTCATTATGAAGCTCAGGAGGCTTGAGCTCACTTTGGAGCCCAGGCTGGTCTCGAACTCACTACACTCCTCCTGCCTCAGTGCCGGAATTACAGGCATGTGCCACCACACCTGGCTCATTTTTT